CAGAGATGACGCATTTTTTCCAATGTTTTTATTTTATTTTCCTTTTTTAGATATCGTTCTGCTGTGCTTGTGGCTGCCACGTTTATGGTTCCCAAAGCATTCATTGGCCTTTCCCCTAAATGGGAACTCAACAGGAAAATTATGCAGGGACATGGATAAATGACACCAGCCCTGCTTAATGTGTCCCCCTAGGGGAGCCGGCAGCCAGATTTGCACTGCATTACACACCTACACATTTAGCTGCCTGGTATAGCCATTCACTTTAATTGGTTAATTAGAGAGATCCCAAAAGTCTGAATTGTCAGGAAGCACTCTTAGATCAAGCTGCACAAATATAAATTGCTTTAAAAAATTTTTTAAATGAGTGAATAGATTTTTTTTTAACCCTCTATCTGACAGCATTCTGCAAAAATCTATTTCAATAAATGAATAATTAAATGCCATTGAATGCCGTGGATTCATATTGCTATTACTGCTGGGGTTTTCTGGAGTTTTTCTCGATTGTGTTTATATTGTCAGAGTTTTCCTGCTGATAAAGCTGCTTTGTGACTGAATGGGGCAAGCATTCTGCATGCTCATTGGTTGAACAAACTCTGAAATTGGTGGAATTAATTTGCTGAGGTACTGTCACTCGCCAACTGCCATCCCCCTTTACAACCTACAGCCAACAGCCATCCCCCTTTACAACCTACAGCCAACAGCCATCTCCCTTATCCCCTTAAAGGACCACTATAGTAGAACAAACTTGTTTTCCTGGCACTATAGTGCCCTGAGGGTGCCCCCACCCTCAGGGTCCCACTCCTGTGGCGCTGAAGGGGGAGGAAGGGGTTAATCCCTTACCTTTCTTCCGGCGCTAGGACTCTCCTCCCTCTTCTGATGTCATTGGCTGAATGCGCATGCGCGGCAAGAGCCGCGCGCATTCAGCCAGTCTCATTGGAAAGCATTCTCAATCCAATTCTCTGAAACTGCTATGTTTACAGCAGAAAGGGTTAACCCTAGATGGACCAGGCACCCAGACCACTTCATTAAGCTGAAGTGGTCTGGGTGCCTATAGTGGTCCTTTAACCCCTTAAGGACACATGACATGTGTGACATGTCATGATTCCCCTTTATTCCAGAAGTTTGGTCCCTAAGGGGTTAAGGACCAAACTTCTGGAATAAAAGGGAATCATGACATGTCACACATGTCATGTGTCCGTAAGGGGTTAACAACCAACAGCCCCCCTTTACAGCCAACAGCCATCCCCCTTTACAACCTACAGCCAACAGCCATCCCCCTTTACAACCTACAGCCAACAGCCATCCCCCTTTACAACCAACAGTCAACAGCCATCCCTTTGATAACCTACAGCCAACAGCTATCCCCCTTTACAGCCAACAGCCAACAGCCACCCCCCTTTACATCCTACAACCAACAGCCATCCCCCTTTACAACCAACAGTCAACAGCCGTCCCCTTTGATAACCTACCGCCAACAGCTATCCCCCTTTACAGCCAACAGCCATCCCCCTTTACAGCCAACAGCCACCCACCTCTACAACCTACAGCCAACAGCCACCCACCTTTACAACCAACAGCCCCCCTTTACAGCCAACAGCCACCCCATTTACAGCCAACAGCTCCCCCATTACAGCCAACAGCCACCCACCTCTACAACCTACAGCCAACAGCCACCCACCTTTACAACCAACAGCCCCCCTTTACAGCCAACAGCCATCCCCCTTTACAACATACAGCCAACATACAGCCAGCAGCCCCCCTTTACAGCCAACAGCCACCCCATTTACAGCCAACAGCTCCCCCATTACAGCCAACAGCACCCCCTTTACAGCCAACAGCCACCCCCATTACAGCCAACAGCAATCCCCCTTTACAACCTACATCCAACAGCCACCCCCCTTTACAACCTACAGCCTGTTTTTAATGCATTACTCATATTTAAAAAAAAAAAGTGCATTAATTAACCTAAAGTATTCCTTAAAGAATTGGCAAATAATTTAGACTTAACGTTTAAAAAAGGTGCTTTTTAAATTTTTTTATTTATAAGTATTGTAGTGAGAACTTTTTAAATATTTTTTTATTATTTGTTTTAAAAGCTGAATTTCTGAAGTTACTTATTTGCAAACTGCACAAAAAAAATAACTATGTAGAAATATTGACAACAAAGGAAATTGATATCTACAAAAACCTGTCTCGCTGCTTCTGAGCAGCAGAATCAGACTCTTTGTTACTAACACAGACAAAAAAAATTACAATTCCTTAAATCATTAGGTGTAAAAAAAAAAGTGCCAGGTAATTATTTAAATGAGAACGGCGAGATGATAACGAGCTGGAGCATTTTTACTTCTTTTACTGTTTTGAAATTCAAATATTTTCTTGGCAGGATTTGCAGAAATAAAAAAAATTAAAAATGAGGGAGCATATTCTGAAATGCATTAAATTGAAAGCTAGTGCTTCACCGACTGGCAACAAAACATCCATTTCTATAGATTAATATCTTCCAAAGGGTCTGGATGCAAGATCCACTGATCCTTTCCAAACAGACGCATTACCGCTACATGAATAGCGCTGCCCGGCACTATATAGAATTCATGGGGCAGCTTAAATGAGAATTGTGTTTAATGTATCGTGCGGGGTTGCTTTTTTGGGTGGTGGGGCGGTGGGCATGATACTGTAGACTGTAAGATGTGAAATGTGTCTTTATTTGTAGGTTGCCTATTAAATGAAGAGAACTTTTCGATAAGATGTCCTAAACACAAGGTATGATTTGCAAGATAATTTTTTTTTCTTTCTTTATGAAATAAAACCTTTCAAATAATCACAATCTCTTACAAAAATATTTCAAATGATTAATCGGTAGAAGTCAACATGTCTATAAAGTCTATGGGAATTCTTGTAAATAAATCATTTGAACAGTTTTTCTAACAGATTGTGATCAATTGAAATGCTTAAAAAAAATATTACATTGTGGTCCAAGATATAACATCACATATGAATGTATTCACTAGGCGGTAGTTATGGTGGATAGTCAGCCACATTTCAAAACTTAGGCCAGAACATGTATACGAATGATTTCAAGACATGGCTTCAATCGATGACGATGTAGAAAGTTTCTCGATTCCCCTTTCTCCCTAATTACTGATGGCTGAAAGTTAGAAATGAACAATCTATGGCCGTGCAGTGTTCATTCATGTTATTTACAAAACTGTCGGAATATGGCGAGGGAATTGTAAAAATTAGGCAAAAGTCTCTGAAGCCGAAAGATTCTGCAGCTCGGCCTAATTCCGATTTGACTATTTTGGCTTCGAAACTGCAATTATCTGGTCAATTCCAGACAGTTTAGTAAAACCTCATGTAACTATTAATGTTACATTATTAAAAGTGCAAACATATTCTGCAGTGCTGTACAGTGGCTAAAGGAATACAAACTTATTCCCACCACCACCTCACCCCTTAAATAAAATTTTCCAAAAAGTTGTTTTAAAAAAAATAAAGGATTTTCGTTACCTTTTTCCCAGTGTAGAGACTCGCCCGTAACATCAGGCTTTCACTGCCTTCCAATCCAATGCGTTTTATAGAGAAGCACATACACGGCCAATCAGATCATAACATTGCCATAACTACTAATGACTTAAGTGTGGTCTGGGTTCCTGGTGTGTTACTTTACCAAATCATACCAGTAATGGTGATAAAATGAGTCATTAATATAGGAACAAGAGGGCATCACGGCCAAGTGCAACCAAATCCAAAAGGGAAAATTTCTAAAGGTAAAACTGATTGAATGGTAGGAAAGCATTCTCTGGGAGCAGTTCATGTTTAGGCCATTTTATATGTTCTGCATAGACACAGACAGGAAACCATGTTTACTGTGATAATCGTCATAGAACCGCGGAAAACTGATTATTTGAGAATTCATAGACTGTAACCTTGTTTGAGCAGGGCGTTCTTCCCCTCGTCTCTGTTATATTCTGTATGTAAAGAACTTCTTGTGAAATATCCCCATTCTATCATTGTAAGCTCTGCGGAATATGTTGGCGCTGTATAAATGATGTTAATAATACTTCATTTGACCTGACTGTTGATGCTCTGTATGCCGTATCCCAACGGAAACAGGACGATTACCTGGAGGTCATTTGTTTGTAAAAATACAAACTGTTAATCCAATTAAAAACAACCGACATAAGGTATATGTTGGTCGTTAGTGTTTAATATATTTATATACATATAGTGCACAAAGAATATTTCTGACGGTATCAACCTGCAACACCATTTATGGCCACATAGTGGCAGTGTTGTTCCATAAAAGATCATGCTCAAAGGGAAAAGATGTCAGAACTGAATAATGGCCGCTTATAATGTAACCATTTCAGAGGTCTTATCGATAAATCAGTTCTTACACTGACCTCATTTTAGGAGACTCCCTTTCATGGCCTGTACCTCTCCCAGGGGAATTCACAAGAATTTGTATTTATTACAGTCCCTAATTTGAGTTGATCATCTCCCTTTATGGATTTGCACTTATCTCTAAGTTATCAGGAAAATGTTATAAAATCCAGCAACGTTTGGTGAAACACCATCAGAGACAGGACAGCGAATGAGCGTGCGTTAGCACTATGTATTTAGAATGAGGCTTTCTCTAGCGGAAGTCCATCACTTTTTCACAAGCTAAGGTGGGGTCAGGGAGTGAAGGCCCATTGTGGGTCGTCCACTGGCTGGATATTTTTTAATATTGTGGATTTGTTTTCAAGAAAAGTCTAATCTGTTTCTTCTCACTTTATTTTTCTTTCTTTTTCCCCCCAGAGACTCCTGGTGTAACCGCCGGCTCTGCAGTAGTCACCCTCATCACACCCAAAATCTTTTGTTCACTTCTTTGGCACTGTCACCATTTCCTACTGTGGAGATAGGGCTCTGGACCCCCTCCCCATCAAGCTGCCAGTCACATTATACCTGCTGTGCCAAGTTCAGAAGAGCACTGGGATAGCAGGAACGTCCTCTCTTCCATGACCACCTTACTATCTCGTAGAGGATACAGAAGGTTCCGGTCACAGAGAAGACACATATCCGGAAGAGCAAATCACGTCAGGAGTGAAGAGATGTCATATTTCTGGAACAATATGAAGCGCAATCAGACAGGAGCATCACTCCCACCCAAAATAGGAGCTTATGACATCACATGTGTTATCCAAAACCTTGATGGCGAAGGCTCTTTATGTGTCAGGTGGCTGTACACTCCTGGCAAGATAAAGGTCAACTTCATCTGCCAGGGGTTAAAATTGAAATTTATATTATTTAGAACCGAGCCAGGAGGATCCATTTAATAATGGTTGCTTCTGACGGTAGACCAGAGGAATGGTACGGAAATTTAAATGTCTTTGTGATTCAGATCATTGCCTTGTTTGCTTACCTGGGGGTCCTCTTCCCCCAAAAAACTAATTGTAGTGTTCCAATACTCGTGACACAGATACCGGCCTATAAATTGGGAGTTCAAGGTATGAACTGTGAGAACTCAGCATCTACTCCCAGCCTGATGGAAACACTTTGTTTAAACGGTATGACTCTGGCAATGGCACCCCACAAGGAAAGGACAGATTCTTACTGCACGCTATAGCGGCTGCTGCTGCAAGGGAAAGGAGTTAATTCAGACTGTAGCGGGATCTTACACTGCATTAGGATAGAGTTACACCTTCCCAGATCACATCTCAGACATGTCACTCGCCTGATCCCTTTCTGCTTTATGTATTCACATTGCAAGTCCCCAGATATCACTGTTTAGATTTTTGCAATACTTTCTCTTCCCTTGTTTGTGTTCTGTCTCTCCTGTCTTGACACCTTTGTCTCTCTTTCCCCTTCTCACTTGTTCTTTGTTAACTGTCCGCCTCTTCGTCCCTTCCCATCTTACTCACCTTACACCCACTTCCAGTTCTTACCGTCCGTCTTGTTCACCTTTTATTGACACCTTTATGCACCTTGTCTGGCCTGTGTCTGTTCTCCTTACTCTCGATCCTCCTCTCTGTCTCCCATGGCTTCCCTTATATCTCTCTTCATTCCTCTTCTCCTGCTACCATATCTTTGCAATCTTTCCCTCATTTTACCATCTTGTTTCTTGGTTCACCCCACCCTAACACTGTCCGTTTCCTGCCATGGTTCACCCCACCCTAACACTGTCCGTTTCCTGCCGTGGTTCACCTCACCCTAACACTGTCCGTTTCCTGCCGTGGTTCACCCCACCCTAACACTGTCCGTTTCCTGCCGTGGTTCACCCCTACCCTAACACTGTCCGTTTCCTGCCGTGGTTCCCTGTTCGAGTGTAACACTGTCCGTTTCCTGCCGTGGTTCCCCCCACCCTAACACTGTCCGTTTCCTGCCGTGGCTCAAGCTACCCTAACACTGTCCGTTTCCTTCTGTGGCTCACCCCACCCTAACACTGTCCGTTTCCTGCCGTGGTTCCCCCCACCCTAACACTGTCCGTTTCCTGCCGTGGTTCCCCCCACCCTAACACTGTCCGTTTCCTGCCGTGGCTCAAGCTACCCTAACACTGTCCGTTTCCTTCCGTGGCTCACCCCACCCTAACACTGTCCGTTTCCTGACGTGGTTCACCCCACCCTAACACTGTCCGCTTCCTGCCGTGGTTCACCCCACCCTAACACTTTCCGTTTCCCGTCATGGTTCACCCCACCCCAACACTTTCCGTTTCCTGCCATGGTTCACCCCACCCTAACACTTTCTATTTCCCGCCATGGTTCACCTAACAAATATCTCAGAGCGGTGACTAACACGGCTGCAAGAAAGCAACACTACTGCTACGGCGTCTCCTGTGTCACAGCGCCAAGTTATGATATCGCCACTAAACGTACCCCATTGTGCTGCCTGCAGACAGACCAGAACACAAGCTCTGCTGTAAATATGAGTGTAGAATGTCAAAGTGCGGAAACGCCTCATCTTATGGTGTGCGTGTATATATATATATGTGTAAACATACATATATATAATATATGAAGACTGTAAATGTTTAACACATTCGCTGCCGGAGGAACTTGCAGTGCAAATATGGCACCTACTCTTGGCAACTAAAGTGTTAAAATGAGTGTTCTTTTTAGTACATTGCTTCACACTGAAGACTGTGTGTACCGAGCTTTCTAAAAGATGTTTATTTTCTTTAAGAGTAACAGAGGCCGTTGGGAATGTGAATAAAAAAAAAAAAAAAAAAAGTGCAGTAAAACAGTATTGTGTTTTTATTGTGGCGCAAATTCACTGAAATCTTTTGCCTGTTCGAGTGTAGAATGGCTATTTTCACGTGAAATACAATCAAATAACATTTGATAGGTTTTATATTTATTTGTAATGATTATTCCCCTTTAGTTTAAAAATAAATAACTATTGGGGTTTATTGACCAAATCGTAAAAATTGCAAACGTTACAGTTTGGTTTCCAAATCACTGCAAGTAGGAGTTTAGCAACTGTCCCATAATTGACAATACAATGGCCGTTATGTTACTAACCCCGTCATGATAGATGCTATAACCAAGGCCGTCTTTAACTTTGTTTGGCCCCCCTGGATCCTGCCGTCCCTTCCCCCCCCCACACTTTCACTCTCTGGCATGCAGTCACGCCCTCCACCCCAACACAGTGGCAGAACTAATGTAGACAGGGCCCTGGTGCAAGACATTGTTTTGAGCCTCCTTCTAGCGCAAGAGCAGAGAAAAGATAGATCCTCATCTGTTGTACAATTCCCACGATGCTATGCCAGCTGGGGATCTACCATTTGGCCATTCTTGCAGGGCTGTGAGCAGTGTTTGTGCATTTGAATATGAGCGTGTTGTTGTATACAGTATGTGTGTGCATGTAGGGTGTAGTATTGGTGTTTACATGTAGGGCTGTGTTTCTATATACTTTTTGAGTTTGAATTCAGGGGTGTGTTTGCATGTTGTGTTTTATTGCCGTGATGTATGACATACATTCACAGTTTTACATACACATTAGCACACTGACAAAGTCTGGCGTACACACACACACACAGATAAAAACACTGGCACATCCACACAGGGATACACACACACGGATGTATTTGTGTAGTGTGTTGGCGTATGAATGTTAGGATGTATGCATTGTCACACAGATGCACACTTACACAAACACTGAGATACACACAGGAACGTATTTGTGTGCATTATTAATGTTGGAATGCAGCGGTGTATTTGTGTGCAATGTTAGATGGGATGTATGCATTGTCACACAGATGCACACTTACACAAACACTGAGATACACACAGGAACGTATTTGTGTGCATTATTAATGTTGGAATGCAGCGGTGTATTTGTGTGCAATGTTAGATGGGATGTATGCATTGTCACACGCATAGATACACACACATACTGACACTCATATATATACACACACACACACAGACACGCAGGTACATATACACAGACACGCAGGTACACATACAAACTGACACAAACACAGCCAGATACAAACACACTTAATCAAATCAATTTACATAGTTTAGCCACCCTCCTTACCTTTACAGAAGTGTTGCTTCCCTGGAGTCCAGTGGGATCTGGATGGCCGAGATAGATGGGAGTCTTCTTCTTGGTCTGTACCTCCTCCTCCCCAGCGGCACTCTGTTAATTGGGAGGAAGTGATCTGACAACACTTCCTCCTGGCAGGAAGACAGAGGTCTGGTCTGGAGCTCCCTTAAAGGGCTGGGGGGCCTTGATTACCTCACCTGCTGCAGCCCACCGGGATATTTCTCAGTATCCAGCAGGCTGTTCAGACCTGGCTGCGGGCAGGGGCCCCCCAGGAGCAACTGGGGCAGGGGCAGCTGCCCTGTTTGCCCCTTGTTAAAGACAGCCCTGGCTATAATCCTCGGTTTGTCATTGTATTTCCATTATCCCTTGTTGTGAACTGCCAAATCACTCTCCCAGTGTCTGGGTAATGGCATCGGTTAAGCCAAACCCAACTTTCCAACAAGCCCTTTCAGTAAACTGAGATGGCCAAAAGATAGGGCCCCAGCCCTTGTAAAACTACATGTCCCATGGTGCTTTGCCAGCCTTCTTTACCATTAGTGCACATTAATAATAGCAGTAAATACTGTGTCGATTACATTGTTTTTATTGCTGTAGCCCAAAATGCTTTAGTTTAATAATCTGCAAATTACTCATCAGGCCGGTCTGCTTCCTCACATCATACATCACCATAAACAGAGATTTGGTCAAATAGACGTCCGAAGGAGGATTTAGATACTGTAAGAGCTAAAGAGATCTAAACTTAAACAATTCATAAAGAAGGCAAATTTATACCCCAACGACCAAGAGATTTACCTGAAGCTTTATTGAGGAGTGATGGACTGGAAGCTCACTGAAGTAGTATCCTCTTCAACAGGAATATTAAAGGGACACTCCAGGCTCCCACACACGTTCGGAGCCCTGTGTAGGTTAGGTTACAGTTAGTTATATTGGGTGAGTTTATATTATTAAAGGGACACTCCAGGCTCCCACACACGTTAGATGCACTGTGTAGGTTAGGTTACAGTTAGTTATACTGGGTGGGTTTATATTATTAAAGGACACTCCAGGCTCCCACACACGTTAGATGCACTGTGTAGGTTAGGTTACAGTTAGTTATACTGGGTGGGTTTATATTATTAAAGGAACACTCCAGGCTCCCACACACGTTAGATGCACTGTGTAGGTTAGGTTACAGTTAGTTATACTGGGTGGGTTTATATTATTAAAGGAACACTCCAGGCTCCCACACACGTTGGATGCACTGTGTAGGTTAGGTTACAGTTAGTTATACTGGGTGGGTTTATATTATTAAAGGGACACTCCAGGCTCCCACACACGCTAGGTGCACTGTGTAGGTTAGGTTACAGTTAGTTATACTGGGTGGGTTTATATTATTAAAGGGACACTCCAGGCTCCCACACACGGTAGATGCACTGTGTAGGTTAGGTTACAGTTAGTTATACCGGGTGGGTTTATATTATTAAAGGGACACTCCAGGCTCCCACACACGTTAGATGCACTGTGTAGGTTGGGTTACAGTTAGTTATACTGGGTGGGTTTATATTATTAAAGGGACACTCCAGGCTCCCACACACGTTAGATGCACTGTGTAGGTAGGTTACAGTTAGTTATACTGGGTGGGTTTATATTATTAAAGGGACACTCCAGGCTCCCACACACGTTAGGTGCACTGTGTAGGTTAGGTTACAGTTAGTTATACTAGGTGGGTTTATATTATTAAAGGGACACTCCAGGCTCCCACACACGTTAGATGCACTGTGTAGGTTAGGGTACAGTTAGTTAAACTGGG